TTTGAATTTGTTAAATGGCCAACACAGCTACCCCTGCATGTTTCCTGAAGTTGGGTATTATTATCTCCCATGTTGCAGAATACCAGACAGAGAGGGTCATCTAAGGACATTTAATGGATTCATGATTTGAACCAGGGACCTCTGGATTCGCAGCTTACTTTCTTGGTGAATATCTCAGAACAAATGCAGTAGGGGCTTAGGCAGACCACAGCACAGCTAGGAGCACTTCCATCCATGCATGGTAAAACAACAAACACGGCAGCATGCAGTGTCTTTTCTAGTTCAAGTAATAAACCAAGTGCAGTGCAGAGATCAAGTTATAAACCATCTCTGCTCAGACAGATCCATTTTTCAAAGTTCCCATGGGAGTTAAATTCACTCTCCATTGGAGCACATGGAATTAAGCATAGCAATTTTTTAAAGAACACAAAGATTCTGAGAAAGGCTTTTCATACAGTTGTTTAGTATTAAAACCAAATTGGCTGATTCCAGTAATCAACCAAGACCAGAGTGGAAACAGCAGATTCCCATCAGGGCTTATTCTACTTAAAAGGAGGTACAGCATGATGTCGTGGTTTGAGTGTTGGACTACAACTCTAGAGATCACAGTTCAATACCCTGCTCAAGATAAAAACCCTCTAGTGACCTTGGGCAAGTCACACTCTCTCAGCCTCAGAGGATGGCAAACCTCCTCTGAAGAAACTTGCCAATAAAACCTTATGATAGGGTCACCTTAGGGGCACACAACAATAACAACAGACCATGAAGCAACCTTGTCTTTTCTTAGGCATGAGGAGAGTTATTCAAGATACATTGCACATGGTCAGTGTTGCTCACTTCTTTATATGCTTTCACCCTGAAAGCCAACACTGAATACATTTTGGCTCTGAGATCTGGCTCAAAGAGCAATTCTTTCTAGCCTGGTGAGCCTGCACACTAACCATATTGGTTAAAAGCTGTACAAATAAATTACAAAAGCTATGCTGGATTTTAGAAAAGAGACTAGAACAAACTGAATTGAGAGTCTGGTTGCTTGCATAGTGGAAAGTGACTAGATGTCCTGAGTTTGGAAGGTACAGGTGAATGACCCTACTCATCTCAGTGTACTTGTATGGGCAGCTGGACAGACAATACTTTCTTGTTTGGCTATTTGTGCATGGTCCCTAATTCACATGTGCAAAAGGATCTTGCAGCACATTTGAGACTAACTGTGTGAAAGAAGGTGTAGCATGAGCCTCCATAGACTCAGTCTACTTCCTTAGATATTCCAGACTAACTTGGATATGTCTCTGAGGTCTACGGTGAAAGCTCTAATTGTACTTGGGAGTTAATATATGGTCATTCTGAAATTCAATGTATGCCTTTGGTCACTGGGAAGAAACTGCTATTTTTAAGTGCCCAGTCTCCATCATTAATTTTTAGTGTGTGAGGGAAGATCAGTAGCTCAGTGGTGGATTATACACTTTAAAATAAATGCAGACAGTTCTGGATACAATCTGCAGCATTGCTGGCTTGGGCTGGGAAAGAGTTCTCTCTGAAACTGGAGAAAGCCATACCAATCTGTGCAAAATAGGGTAGTCATTCTAAGCCTTTGGCCACTGTAGATTTTTTATTTCATGTCCCATAGGCTCCAGTCACCTTACCAGTGGTCAGAGAATGTGAGAGTTGAAGTCCAAAGCATTTGGAGAGCAAAAGATTGACGCTACTCAAGTAGAGAGTACAGAGCCAGGTGGGCTAACACTCTGGCCCTATAAGGCTGATTCTTATCTGAATGGCCATGGTCAATAATTTTGCTGTACTTACTATGTGCATCTCAGTTCACTCTGTCAACATTCTCCTTGCAACTGTGTGAATACCTGGACAGGGGACCAAGATGCATGCATTCTAGAGGTTGGAAGATTGACTCAACTTACTTTGGGCTTCTCTGGAGGACCACAACCATCACTGAGGCCACCATTTTGGGTTACCAGGAGTGATGATGTGT